CTACCAAAATACTATTGAAAAACCTTTATATTTATTATCAGATTAAAATGTAAATATATATAAAAACTTTTCAAAAAACAAATAGAAAATATTTGAGAAACTAATAAAAAACTTCTAGAATACAATTCAGGGTCATGGTGACACTGATCATAATGATGTCAGACACAATAGTTTATTTTATAAATAAGTTCAATCACACACATATGATCGAACTTTATTTTTTTTAAATATAAATAAGTTTGATCGATGCATGGTCAAACTTCTATTTTATTTTTTTTAATAAATTTGTACCAAATAAATATTTTGTTGTATCTCGTGAGGTCTCGTGTGTACAAGAGAAGTGAACATCATGAATAAACATAGCAAGTGCGAAAATAACAAATAACAAAGCCTTTAATGAACAGATATTAATTTAACACTATGTTACCTATATATATATTTTTTTTTGAATTTCACACATAATACCCAAGTGTTTTTGTTCAAAATGCCAAATAATAGGTGGCAAGTTTTCATCATGGAAAACCTGGCGACAACATCAGAAAAACTATTCTCAACATATAACTACTGTTCCAGCAAATTCTTCGTCTCGTACAATATCTCGTACAATTCGACAACCTATTTCAACTGATTCAATAATTCAAAAGTTCAAAATTTCATTTAGATATAGTAACTTCGATGATGAAAATGTGGCAGATTATTTTAACACACAATTGGACCAAAATAATTTTGATGACGAAAATAAGATAGATTATTCTGACACACAAATGGACCAAAGTAACTTTGATGATGAAAATGAGATAAATTATTCTGACATACTAATGAATGAATTTGAAAACTATAATGATAATATAAATATGGCAGAGGCATCGTCACATATAGAAATAATAGAAAACTCACTCCAAGAATATAACAAGGCAAAAATAAATGTTGACGTTTTGCTTTGAAATATTTATTTAAAAAATTTTATCAAAATATTTATAAAGCAGTCAGCATCAAATAAGGCTTTAATTTATAGACCGAAAAAATTATCAACATTGCAACTAGATCGTTTGTCAACAGATGGTCAAAGTGACGACAATAATAATTCTAATAGTTCTAATCAAAGTGAGCAAGGTAGTGATTCCAATCAAAGCGACAATAATAATAATTCTGATCATGATGAATATGACATTTATGAAGAAATCGATATCAGTGAAGAAACTGATAGTGGAGATTATGAAAGAGTTACATTACCTATGTCTTTCCAGAACTATTGTATAATCCAGTACGACTTTTATATAATCTGCCACTTTTAAAGGAAAATAATATGACACAAGGGATTATTCTTTGGATATTTTTATTTCAAAGAGTGTTTATGATTACCAAAACTGGAATCATAACATGACTTTATTCA